AGATAAAATGAACTTGCAAAATAAATTTAAACGAGTGCTAACACACATAGTTGAATATGATCTTCACCTCCGCACAGAAAAGTGTACGATACCTCGGTTTCATGATAGATAAAGATGAACGACGACAAGATTCAGGATTGGTTAGTCATTACGAAAATTCACTTCCTAATCTCCTTCGTCTGTGTGCTCCACTAAACCGTCTACTGAAAAAGAATTCAAAATAAGGTCGGTCAGCAAACTTTCAAGCAGCTTTCAATAAAATCAAGCAACTCCTAGCTTCCAGTTTCTTACTTAGGCATTGTGATCGTTCTCTGCCTATAGTGGTTGCTTCAGATGCTTCAAATTATGATATCAGAGCAGTCATCTCTTATATTTTTTCCCGATGGAGCTGAAAAAACCAGATCATTGACAACAACAGAACAGAACTATAGTCAAATTGAGAAAGAAACTCTATCGATTATCTTTACCGCAAAAATGTTCCTCAAGATGATGTTTGGTCAGCGATCTACCTTCATAGCAAACCATAAACCATTACTTGCGAATTTGGGTCAAAGAAGGGAATTCCTGTTTACACGGCTAACCGGCCACAACGATGCGCAACAAAAGTTCTTGGTCACGATTTCAGGGTCAGGTTTTGTAGGTAGTAAAAATCGTCATTTATAGAAGAACTTTTAAAGATAACTGTCTGATTTACAAAGAACTTAATAATTGGCACTCATAAGTATTTAAAGTAAAAAAGATCCCAAGACCATGCTAGATAAGGAATTAAACACTGACTGTTTTGTATATACAAATAGTTTCTGTAAGACCTTTGAGCAACGCTAAAATGACCTTGGAATGTCCATTTACTTATCAGAGTTAAATGAGGGTTATATATTAATGTAAGGAATTAAGATTTACAGTTGAACGTTAAAGTAAGAATTAGATTTAATGTTCTCATCACGAACTGACATCAGCTATAATGCCAAAATGGTATTAAACCAAATGAGTAAATGAATTTTATGCCAAAATCGGAGATCTGCTCTTTTAAATGTGATTGATTTATCTATAAATCATAGTCTAGCCATAGTTTCTTATTTATTTTTTATTCCTTGTAACGTTGGTGTGTTAACAGTTGTTCGGCTGTTTGTTTGTTTTTCAGTTCAAACCATGAAAATGATGTTATTACATGTAATTTTTAATGATAAAAGGATCAAATAAATTATAACAATAATTATCTATTTCATATTTCATTCAATTTAGATGTTTGCTTTACATATTTGATTTTCAGACTTTATATCCGTTTCTATGGTAATATCAGATGAATGATTTGAATGGATTTTCCATGTAAACCCGTTAGAATAATTTTAATTAGTCTGTGAATATTATTTTATTGTTTTCAAACAGACATTGTTATATTCTCTTAATGGTTGGTTTAACGTGAACTGTATACATTTAATTACAGGAAGCCTATAAGCTTTTTCTCATATCTGAATAATAATAGTTCGTAAATCAGATCATTTTAGCTCCTGACTATTATTTTTTTAAACTACTTCCTTAAATTTACAATCTTTGTCTAAGCATCTATACCCGCATGAAATAATTTACTACATGAAGATGATAAACATAACTAGTTTGGAACCAATTTTCATTATAAACAGCCATTGCCATCAAAATCATTAAGAAGGGAAGAGTCATTTGAAAGGACATGGATCTTCGACTACATACGATAACTAAGCTGTAATCTGTATGACATTTGAAGAATTTAAAACAATACATTCACAAAGTTAAAATCTGATGATTATTATTCTTATGTAGAGTAGATTACATTCATTGGTATCAGAGAATCATTGGATAATCCAGAATCTAGCCATTTATGAGAAGATAAATTTTAATTTATTGTTTGGTAACATGCTCATTTTTTGCACGAAGTCACATCACCTAAATAATCATTGGAAACTAGAAAGAATTTAGTAACCTTTATCGTTCTAGTTTAAGACCAATTCTCTATAATCCATCATGATGTTAGAAAAGTTGTCCTTTGCTTTGAAGATTTTAAAATAACATTTTATGACTACAATCATGAAATATTCTATTCCTTTAAAATAATCCATAAAGTATTAGTTGCAAAATCTCATATCGTCGTGATTACCTTTATACCTGAGTTTGTTTTAAAATGATGGTTCATTACAACAGAATAAAAGTGATTCACATATACTAACTATGATAACAGTTTCTTTGAATGGTGACTCATCTGTCAATCATAAAAAACTCAAACTACATTCGTACTAAACCTGTATCAACACGAGCTGTCACAAATTAAATATATACTTACAAAAGAAGGTATGAAGATTATCAGTAATATATTTAAGTTATTGATGTTTAGTTTCTTGCGTAGTTATTGGCATTCCAAGAATAGTAATTATCTGTATTATTTGGAACAGGAAGTTACTATATACACACCTCAAGATTACTTTTCTTAGAAATTGATATTACCTGGAAAACCATTGCGAATCAAGGATCCTCAGGATTAAACCCAAGATCTGTAAATCAGTGGTCCACATTATCAACCATAATCCACCTATCACATTTTAGAACGATCATCTGTTTGTATCAATGGTAATCCTTTTACACTTGAAATGGTTGAAATTTAATTGGTAGTCAAGCAAATCATCGTAAATCTAAACAGAAATGAGAGTATAATTGTTCTCAGTTTGCTTGAAAATCTTTAACATCACTTAACATCATTTATTATGAACTAACATGACTGAATACAATACAATTTTATGAAGTGACGAAAGTGTAGAACATGTACCCTCATATGCCCCTTCAGTGGTAGAATAAATATTGAGCTAACAAGTAGATTTAAGGCTATCTAATTTCATTTCATACGTTATTTCAGGAGTCTACTATTAAATTTAAAATTTTTTGCAAAACATACAACGGATCATTATATTGATGATAAACATTTGTCTTTTTCTGAAGATATTTGTATGGTAAGAATTAATCAGCACGATTTACATAAAAAATCAGAATAACACCATATCATATTTACATGATTTTAATAACCTTATTCTGAATTTAAAACACTTAAATATTTTATTAAGGTTTAGGAAAATTACAAAATAAATCTTTAATACTTTTAAATCTTAATAACTTTCGTCTACTCTTGTAGAGCAAGATACATTGGCCACAGCCAGCGCTCGCTTTTAACTCGAATACAAGAACATGTCCCAGTTTGGTTCTACAACGATGAGAGGAAAGCAGTTAGGAGTTCCATACTTGAACATCTACTCGACTGTAATCATTCTGTTGTTTCAAAGTTTGATTTTAAGGTTGTATTTACGATTCGTCTAAATCTACCTTGATTTTTTCTTATTCGAAATAGCCGAGCTCAAGCTAGAACTACGCGTACAAAAAAGGTACGTCCTATCATTATCGTTACTTTGGCCCTAATTATTATTATTATTAGTGCATTTCTCTTTTTACTTATGCCTCACATTCTCATTATTTTATTCATAATTGCTCATGATATCACTTTATTTATTTTCTACATCTCTATGACCTTTAATTATTGTAACGAAAACATTTTAATCATCTTACTACATTCACGTTATAATTCGTTACTAACTTATTAAGTCTATCGCCATTATTTGTATTACATAATCTAGTATTATAATCTTTCTATAACACCATCTTGTTTATTCCTTGTTCACATTTCCTTACGGAACTAGTTCTTTAACAAAAGAATTTTCACTGACTGAAACCATGAGTCAATTGAAGCTAGACCACCATGGAAAACCTGGAAGCACTGGACGGCCGTTTCGCCCTAGTATGGGACCCCTCAGCATCCACGATCCCGCATCCAACGAGATTCGAACCAAGGACCTATCAGTCTCGCGCCAGGAGCTTAGCCAACTTGACCACTAAGCCGGCCAGCATCCATTGGTGTTAATGTCTAACTTCAACCAATCCGCGAAGTTGCGCCACCGTACACCATTGTCTTCAATGATTTGATATCTCACAACAGACCTGGTTGAACCCCACTGGTAAAGGCTTCTGACTAGAACTCTAGGAGTATCTCTTGAAGTCAGTCACTAGTGAGCAGACGATTATTATCAGAAGGGGTTTTTTGTGGAGACTTCAGAAATTTCACTGACTGAAATCATGTTCCACCATGTTTCCATACTAGGATGAATAGGCCGTCCAGTGCTTCCAGGTTTTCCATGGTGGTCTAGCTTCAGTTGACTCATGATTTCAATCAGTGAAACTTCTAAAAATCTCCACAAAAAACCCCTTCTGATAAAAGAAATTTTCATAAATATCTACGTTTGTACAGCTTGATAATAAATTTGTTGAACAGAGATCCCATCTCTGAACTCTTTTTTTAATATTTAAAAGAGAATTATCTGTCAACTTTGTCATAATGTTTTGAATAGAATCATTTATTTACTTATAAGTGATATGTGTTTTTTTATATAAAAAAAAATCCGAAATCTCAATAGTGTTTAATTACCTACACTGTTAAACGTATCTATCTCATTCAATAAAAACAAGATGTTACTATCCTAAAAATAATAGTAAATTTAACTATTATCAAAGTCGATAAAAATCATAAATAGTTTCGATTTATTTACACAAATATTTGATATGTTTATTGTTTCTATTGTATTATTTTATAATTTTTTTTATTATACAATGATGACTGACAATGATTATGTTTATACTTCGAATAATATTGAGTTCTCTGCTACTATATTACTTGTTTATTCTAGAATCAATACAATTCGATCATTATTATTATTATTACTAGTTCCTACTATTAACCAACAAAAAGCCAAATCATATGAAGGTAACTAATAGAGTGATAGAAAGACACAACTATACTATTTGATTATAATTAAACAATTTTCACATAAAATTTAAAAGAATAAACTGTACATTATTACTAGGGTTTAAAATACAAAACAAAAGTAATAGAATAAATTATTAATAATTTCTATTTATTTAGTACTAAAAAGATGCCAATAGAACAAAGACCATATAGTAATACATTACATCAAAGTGGTGAAAGAAAAGCTGTTATTAAATATGTTGAAATGAGTAAAGAAATGCAACAAGATGCTGTACAAACCGCTGCAATGGCTATGGATAAATATAATGATGATAAAGATATTGCATTATTTTTAAAAAAGAATTTGATCGTAAATATGAACCAACATGGCATTGTATTATTGGAAGTAAATTCTCAAGGTATGATAATTTACTGTTGTTGTTTTTTTTTGCTGGTATTATCCATAGTTTAATATCTGTACTTTTCAAATGTGAAATAAAATGAGTGACTAATAGTTATTAAGTTTACTCTTCCTTTCTTTATTATTAGTGTACAAAATTAAAAGGAAAACTAGTACACTTAGAGAAATGTTTGGATCTAATTTTAATGAAATCTTACAAAGATATTGAATGATATCTGGTTGTTAACATTTATGGTTTACTTGGAAATATCTTGGTTCAAACTTTTAGGTTTTTACTGAGAAAATTCGATAAATGAAATTGATTTCTTAAAGTGTTTTTTTATCAGAAAGGGGTTTTTGTGGATATTATAATAATTTCAATAGTTGAGTTCATAAGTCAGTCAATTGAAACTAGATCATCATAGAAAACTTGGAAATATTGGATGGCCATTTCATTTTGTTAATTGTCTTTTTATTGATAAAAAACACATTTTAACTTTTGTGCTCTCATAACATTTACATAGAAAGTATACTTACATTTGAAGTAATAATAATATTAGAAATTAATGAACCTTTTTACTACTTTCTCTACATTTTTCTTAGTCTATCTTGAATAATTTCTTGGAATAAATATACTTTGATCATAATAAATCAAAGAAAAAACTACTTTTAAATAATTATTTGATTGTATCTTTTAATTGATTATAGTAATCTAAATGATTTTGAATAATTCAGTTACTAAATTCTAACTTTTCTTTTATTCAATTAACTTATTTAAGTAGTCACTATAAAATATTTTAAAGTGAACTAAACTGAAACAATCAGATAACTTATGAAGTAAATTATAACTTTAAAAATAAGTAGGTAATAATTGTGAAAACTATAAATAGGAAATGCTCTTTTAATCTTGAATATATTTCATACACATACAAGATATTAGGTCGATACCTTACAATATTTTAAGGTGATTAGTTAGCAGTTAAACTCTAGTATTCTGTAGTTTGCTGAAGTCGTTGCTATCAGTCATTAAAAACCTGTGTTCAAAAGGAGATGGTTATTAATCTTTCCTTGACTTGGTGATAAATATTCCTTTTTTTACTCTTTCGTGCATTTATTACATCATTGTAATTTTAATTCGACTGTCTTCAAGATTAATAATCTTATTTTATCAACTGAGCTCCACGCATTTTGTTCTTATCAACATTTACTCATTATGTAATCACTTGTTTCTGGCCATTTGAACTGTTGCCACAATTAATGTTGTAGAATATTCTTTTACATAAAGTATATATTTACAGTATTCAGTCTACTATTATTATTTACAACCTTGCTATATTATACTAATGTGTCTTCAATATAACTTCAAACTAAACCCTTTCACGTAAGTAATTTAAACGCATTATGTAATTATGATTTTTTAAATATCGTAGGTTGTAAGCAGTTGACGAGAACCAACGAAATAAAATGTATTCATACTACTCTGCTAAAATCATTGTTCTTGCTCTTTTCTGAATATATTTATATGAATGCAATATGTATTGTTAGTAATCATATTCAGTTTTGCATTAGTTACATCAGTTAACTGAATAATTTAGCATTAAAGGTCTATTATCCGAGTAATGAAACCAGTTTAAAATTACTGTTTGATCCTTTATTGTCAATCATTAAGAGGAAAAAAAATGAGTTAGTTTTTTGTCAAATGCCATCTTGTATGTTATCATGGATAACATTGGTAAAAGTAACATAAAATCATATTATCTTTCAATAATAACCAAGCTTAATAACAGTTTGTAAATGAACTTAAAATAATTTAAATGTTTTTGTTTGTAATTATTGAATAACTCTTTATTCTTTATTGTTTTCCTCTTTAGTTATGTAACACATATAAAACAATTCTGTATTTACTTTTCATTGGAAGATCGTGGAGTTCTTCTTTTCAAAACTGTATGAAATATTCAACTAAAAAGTCTATTTCATCATTACTTGTATTAGTTACGATTATAATAATATAGATATCAAGTAAATATATTGATTTATGATAACAAAATGATCAACATAATATAATTTAAATCTGATTTTGACCATTTACATAAATTTATTTAGTTTAATTAAAAGATTCTCTTCGATGTTTTTTTATTATACTTAGCGGGTATTAATAGTGCAAGGTTACACTAATTACAACATAACATACTGACTAATCGAGAGATATTCACCTAGTCCTCAAATCCGCCTCAAGTCAATTGACCACATTTTTAAGTAACCATATAGCTGTCAATGAAATAATAACATATAATAAGACTGACATGGGTTTTCAACATGTAAAGGGAATAATCGTACAGCCGAGTTTGTTTTTGCACTGAGAAATGAAAAATATAATGAAGATGCAAAAAATAGCTGATAAGACTTTTAGCTGAACGCCCGAATAGGTTTCCTAAACGATTCTATTAAACCCAGTCGAAATCTGCACAACAACTGGAACACAAGAGAAAAAGAGTGAAATGTGAGAAGAACGCTTCACTTAAAGGTTATTTCAGATTAATTCGCATTTCAGATGCCCTTGGGCTGATTTGACAAGATGTTACCCAACTTTTCCAGGACCCTTCTGGACTTTTAAATGGAATAATCTAGATCGCCTCAATAATAACTGTATTTAAATCCTAGATATGAATATTTACTACACAAATATTACCCATCCTTAAGGAGCACTGGAAGGCCGTTTCGTCCTATTGTGGGTCTCCTCGGAAGTGCTTCCAGGTTTTTTATGAAGGTCTAGCTTCAATTGACTCATGATCTCAACTATTAAAATTACTATAATATCCACAAAACCCCTTCTGATATGTTTGTAGTTACTATTCAGAATATTTTGTGCGATAAAATTCCACCAGACATTCAATTACTTAACGAACCAAACAAAAATGTATTTAAGGCTCTTTCAAATATTGAAGTGTTCACAGATTGATATTATCATCATTACCAAATACTTGATATTTTGATCATTTTGCATAACGACTACTATTTTGAATAATTTCAGTCGGTACATCATATTCCTCAGGTCAATTTCATTAGAATGAAAGTAATGGGGTTTGTATATCAATAAGAATTATTTTAACCACTTTCAGAATTATATTGATTTATAAATAGACCAAAATATATATTGAAACACTAAAACCAAAGCACATATTTGTCCTTAGGCAGCTCCTAAATGAGTTAAATGTATAAGCAATTAGTTTAAAGATATTTAGTTAATAACTAAATTACATGAGGTCGGAATGTTTTAATGAGTCTGATGGATAAAGATATGAACTGGCAATTAAAAGTACATTTTCAAATCTTTTCTGAAATCATAGATATTTAGAAATTATTTATCTTAGAAATATTACTGTAATATCGAATAAGACTTTTAACTATAAACTAGCCATTTATTATTGTTATTATATACTTGTTAGTCTATATTCTAGATTTTGAAGTGTTCTCATACATTCGAAATTTAGTTTATCCTCTCGAAATGTTTACAAACTTTGATTGTAGTGATATTTACCAAAAATGTCATTTAACCTGAATAACTGAAATTTCAATGCTTCAAATATTCAGTGCATAACCATAGAATAGCATATACATATACATTATATACATATATTCTTTCATTTGTATTACTTCACTTAAATTATATAAAATAATTACACAGTTATAACATTACATATCAAATATGCTTACATAATGAGAAGAAATTACTTTTCTCAAATCAGTAGTATTACGTTACCATTCAGAAGTGAATCAGAATCCAGTAAATTTGAGTCATGTTTATTTTGTAGAAAATATTTTATTTAAAATTTTATCATTTTGTTACAAAAATCTTATATTTTACTGGTCAGTCTACCCCGACTTCTGATATCTCTTTATTGGAGCAGTGTATCGATAATTTGTATTCGTGATCAATTATCCCTCGGCCACATTTAGATCAGCTCAGTTGACACTTATACAACATTTTGCTAGTAAATTGAGAAGTCATATCAACATAACACTTAAATCACGTTTGTTTGATAAAATCAACATATCAACTTTTCTAAGCAAAAAAAATACCAGACTGCATCTCGTTTAACTTACACTTCTCCTTATTCATATAGAATCATCGAAGTAGCTCATAGTATTTTTCTCGAAATTCATAAACGCAAGACAATGATTCATTCATCAACTACCTTATTTTATACTTAAAAACCCATTTTAAAATTATAAATGGACAAGAATTTTAAACCTCACTTCGTTCTCCATTCAGTTTATTCATGAAAGGAGACAAACGGCATGAAGGTCATGGAAAGGTTACACAAACAGTAGCAATAAACAATAGAGTATGTAATAATTTTTATCACCACTAAAAACTTTTGATTACTGGTTTGCATAGCCTAAATAACATATTTATTTGAATCTAAATTTAATTAGAGCTAATGGCTATTTACTGAAATGTACGAGAACCAAACGACTAATCATTGAATGAAATAAAATTGTTGTGATAAATTCCACTGTTGTTCTTTAACATATATTACCATGTTATCCACAACAACTATGATTGAGTTCTTACTAGACTATTTACTTACAACGAAGAAAATATCATCCTCACCATATACAAAGCTAAATGATAACTCCTATAAGTTTTACTCATTCTTATCATTCAATAATATGCGTCTGAATCGTCGTCTTCAATAAAGTTTCAAATCCATTACAGTCGAAAGCATAAAACAGAGAATATTATATCCAACGTAAATTGAGAATCCTCGTGTTCTATAAACTTATCATGAAATTTATATTGCACTAATTCAGTGCAGCTTTCAGTTTGTAAGATTGACAAATTTCATACATTTATATTTATTTATTAAATAACTGGGGTAAGTTGACCCATATTCAATCATTTAGCCTTCTTGGTTCATACATCAACCCTATAGTTTTCAACTTTAACAAAATAATGGAAAGTTCGCTTTATCTGAACACCAAGCAACCAACTAGATATATCCATATCACACCAGGCTTATGCTTTACAGCTTCGAACTCTCATAGTTATAATTTATTTACTCAAAATTTTTTTGAACGAAGAATATTCTTTCCGATAAATCCTCTTCAGGTTCTACAATTATATATCCAAATTAATAATCCGAAAAATGGACAGGGTAAGCGCAAAGTACATAGTTTAAAGTATGTTTAAAGTATACCCTTAACCTGGCCATTTTTCGGATTAATAATTTGGATATATAATTGTAGAACCTGAAGAGGATTTATCGGAAAGAATATTCTTCGTTCAAATATTAGTCTCTTACTGTGACGCCACAGCAAAAAAAGCGGCCTGCTTGAATATCTGGGCTACCTGTTTCTGCCATCTGATTATTTCAACAAGTTATCTGTTTTTCATTTGTTTTAATTTATAATTATGTCCATTAATCGCATAACCTATTCAGGCGCTTTTATGAAAAGCCTACGACCTTTCGCTGCACAAGTTACGAAAAAGTACTATAAAAGGCATCGTGGTGGTTGGCAATATGCGTTAAAGAGAATGAACATTAATCGTATGTCGATTCCCGAGCTACTAAATTCTAACTGCCGATCACTAATCAACAAAGTGGACTATCTGCAATTCCTACTTAGTCAAAATACGTATCGTAATTGTGGTGTCATCACAATTCAAGAATCTTGGTTGAATGATTTACAGGATGACTGCCTTGTATCACTACGTGATTTCAAAATTTATCGTCAGGATCGATCGAACAATAAAAAGAGGTGTGGTGGCGGTGTAGCTACGTTTGTAAACATAAACTGGTGTCGATCTTCGTTTGTGTGTTTTAAGTTTTCAAATGACTTTATCGACTGTCTAACTCTAAGATGTCGTCCAAAACATCTGAATAAATACAAATATGTTTATGTTACCAATATCTACGTGACTCCAGATTGCACATCATCTGCACTATCTGTTTTTGCTGATGAATTCACTGAGTTCGCTGTTACTGCCTTCAGTGATTCACTTTCAGTTGTATGTGGTGATTTCAATTCATGTGACTGTAGCTTCCTTACGTCACTAGGTCACCAAAATGTAGGGGATTTTCCTACCCGTTTGGATGCTAATCTAGACTTCGTCTTCATTAATGATGTGGGTATATATGCGACTCGTAAACGTGCTCCATTGTCTAGCTCAGATCACTGTATAATTCGTGTTCTACCTAAAGTATATGGAAAGCATGGGAAGAGTACACTCTTACATCAAACCAAGAAAGTCAAATATAGGAATTACTCAGAAGAAAATATCCGAAATCTGAAAAACATGTTTCATACGACTAACTGGGAATTATTTACAGATGACTCACTCGAAAACACTACTGATGTTATCACTTGTTACCTTAAATTCTGTTTTGATATTTGTTGTCCCACTGAAACCATTTTTGTAAGTTTTGATCGACTTACATCTTCACAACTAAAACGACTACGGAGGATGAAAGAAAGAATGTACAAGGAGAAGAACTCAAATGAAGTTCGTAAGCTAAATGGTCTGATAAACCTAGAGATTAGACGTCTCAACTGTATGTTTACTCAAAAACTCTTATCTTGCAAAAACTCTCCAAGTATGTGGAAATTCTTTAAAGAACTTACAGGTGACAGAAAGTTTAGAAGCGATAACCAGCTGAATGTTTGTGACTTAAATAAGTCTTTTGTACGTCAGTCATCTGATGTGATGCTCCCTCTATCCACGGGTTTAAAAAATAGCTGTGTTCCTACTTTCACTGAAACTGATGTACGAGGATGTCTCCAGTCGCTTAATTCATCTCGATGTTTGGGACCTGATGGTATCCCAAACATCCTTTTTAAAAAATGTGCTGACGTTCTGTGTCATCCGTTCACAAC